TCTTTCACACTTAGTAAGCAAGTAAATAATTTATCTACAAGCCTATTATTATAACAGGCTAATAAATTATACTGTACTCACTGATACAAAGAATAGGCTATGATTTAAAATGTACTTCCCGGTTGCAAGACTAATTTAAATAACTTGCTAGGGTTCAGTCTTATACGAGACTAACTCTTTTATACCTATCCCTACTAAAATAAAACATGATTTTTAAATTGTGCTTCCTGATTGAATATCTGATAATACCGTACCCATTAATACAAAAACATTCTGGATTTAAAATAGCGTTTCCCACTTGGTGTATATTTAATTTCGTCTCGGTTCCTTAGTTTTGAGTATTTGACCCGACAAGCCTATCATATTTGGCTAATCACGCCATGCTTTACCCATTAATACATAAAAAACGTTGGATTTAAAATAGTACTTCCGGGTTTACGCTACTAGTTGAAATAATTGCTTATGACGCAGCTTTAACGAGTAATTTCTGAAGTATTTTTCTAGGCATTCGTGATCTGACGTCATTGTTGTGTAATGCATGAATTCTAGGGCATATACATCATATATTGTAAAACTGTTTTTATTGGTAAGTAAAAATTCCGGCAGCTTTCGATTCATTTGATCCATGATTCGCGAAATTGAGTTTTAAAATTTGTGAGATAACGTAAGGCCAGTTCAGTAACCTACAGAAAAAAAAATATGAAACGAAATCATCTAGAACTGCAATTCAATCAGACTGATTAAAAGACCTCTTTTGAATTTAATGAAGCGAAATAACATTAACAAATAATATTTTTAAAAGGGAGCCAAGCAGGAGGTTTCGTGTGATTTGAGCGAATCGTTTTTTAAAAAGTTATTTTCAATCAGAATATAAACAACCCAAGTGGAACGAATACAAAAAAACCTCAAATTATGAAGCTACCTGTATCTGGTTGCAGGGTATGAGACCTATATACGCATGAACCAACTCATTATACAGACAAAATGTATTTCTTTGTATCCTTTTTTACTGTACAGCAATATAGAGAAGCTCTGTTATTTAATGTTGATAAAATTAAATTTGAAAGAAACTAAACAACTATAAAGATGCGAATGCAATCAGCTCCAAGATCAGAGATGTATAAAAACCACGTGCACTTTTATTTTAAAGAAATGGTCCAATACAAGGCAATTGTCGTGATGCAGTATAACTTAATAAATGAATTTTAGTATATTTGTGTATATTAGGTTCTAGTGATGATCCACCAGCCTCTAATTTCACTAGCACGAAAGATCTTGAGTTTGTATTTGATTTTGAATCCTAATTTTGATTTAGCCAGTCATCAACCTGATAAAATAGTTGAAGTGGTCACGCCTAGTATTAGTAAAACGGAGCAAAATATTGACGAATGGGGGCAACGTCCGTCCTACGTAACCCTCACC